TTTTTTTTTTTTTTGTTTTGTGTGTGTGTGTGTGTGTGTGTGTGAGTGTGTGTCTGTGGTTAACGATTTTCATTATAGCTGAATTTGGGGTATCTTTCAGTCTCAATTCAGCTATAATGACCGTACGTTGTATACGGGGGAAGACTGTACTGCCTCATTTCCTTAGTGACATCCAGAACACTCACCTGCATGGTATCCATTTGGTGTCATACACAGTGACATCCACGGTCTTGCGCACATGTTCAAGTATGCTTGGTCCCTTATTGGCATCCACCATTGCTGAGCTGTATGTCGCCAACCACTCAGTTTATGTAGCCTATACAAAGGATGTCTACTGCTGGACCTCCTGGTGCTAACCACAAGCAAAGATAAAACCGAGAAACGACAACGTCTAAGTCAAGGTTTGAGTTTCAAATACGCAAACTTCGCAAAGAAAAAAAAAAACACTCAATGCCTATGTTACCAGAGTCGCCCAGCCCAGGCCGGCCGGCCGGGCGACCGGGATGAACTTGCACGGGGTACCCGGCAACACCAAAAAGGGGGTCATTTTTTTCTGTTTCTTTTCTTCCGCAGTGCGGCACTTTTGCGGCCAGTGAGACGTGCCCAAATCCGGCCTTATCTTTGAATTTGGTGATATCTCACCAAAGGGGTCGTCTACAGGAAATAAGGGGGGTTCGAAAGGGCACGAAGGGGCTTAAATGGGGTGGAAGGGGTATGATATAATTTAGTATTTTATTTTTATTTTTGGATTCCGTAGCGAATTTTGTGGTCACCATCAGACAAAAGATGTTTGGTTTGCAATTCTGCATGACATAAATTTTTTTCAGATTTTTTTTTTTTTTTTTTCCCCTTGCTCCGGGACTTCCCGGGACCTTGACCGGGATGCCCGGACCTGGCCCGGCCGGGGCACCCAGGCCACCCGGGCCAATCTGAGGCGTCCCGGGCCGCCCGGCTAGTAACACAGCTGAATGCACTTTTGTTGCCGCCGCAGTTTGATATGCGCAAAAACAGCAAAATGGCGGGTTTTTTGTTCGCCGTTTTTGTCCTCCGGCCCTCTGCACACCACTGCCCACCCCTGTAGTTATGCGCCGCTCTTATTGCCTTTTTTAAGTTGGCGTGTGAGTGACCTGCCGCTACCTGTTTTTCCTGCCTATCCGGAACTCATTTTGACAACAGATGTAGTTGGCTTTACAACACAACAGAAGCACGAACAAATGCTCTCTCTCTCTCTCTCTCTCTCTCTCTCTCTCTCTCTCTCTCTCT